TCGGTGGTTCCGCCCACCCCGAGGGCCAGGCCCAGCGCGGCAGGGCGCGGAGGGTTGAGCCGGAGTCTGAGGATCCTCAGAGTCCCCGGCCAGGCCACCCTCCTCAGCAGTGTTTACCCATCTTGGTCCATACCCCTCTGGGCCCAGTTACCTGGAGCATCTGCCCCTCTTAACAGCCAGGGCAGGGGAGGACCCAGGGGTCCCAGGACTGGACGAGCAGGAAGCTCCCCTCTCCTAGCAAGCCTTCTTCTGGGACAAGGACCGCCCTGCTGGGAAGGGCCCATGAGCTAGAGGAGGTCTGAGGAAGAAGGGGCAGCTCTAGACTGGACGTTACCACCCCACCTTGGCCCTGGGAACCCTTGGCCTCTGGGGACAGATGGCCAGGCTGGGCTTTCCTGCCTGGTGCAGGCATTGTGGCCCCTGCAGCAGAAACCAAAGTCCCCCTGCTGTGTGCAGGGCCAGATGGGGGTGGTGAGTGGCCAACTGGAACCAGCAAGGGCCAGGGAAGTGTCTGCCCCTGCTTCTTGGGGGCCAGAGCAGCTGTAAGGAAATGAAGCTACACCCCCACCCCTGCCATGCCCCACATCTTCCTCCATGAGACACTCCCATCACCCCATCTTGGCTAGTGATGGATGGGCTCTCCCACCCAGGCTAGCCTCCTCTCCAGGGGGTCCCCAGCCTGCACTTCCCTTCCTTCCCTGTCCCCAGCCCCACCCTCTGGCCAGGGCCTGGTCGCAGGGGAGGAGGCCTCTCAGCAGAGTTGCCTCTCCACACCTGCTCATGGTGGTCCCGTGGTCTCTGCTGAGTCAGAACCAAGAACGGTGCCAAAGTCCAACAATGCCCCCAGACCCTGATCCCCTGGGGCCTCATGACCCTCGGGATGACCCTCTCGGTGCTCCCAGAGCCTAGAGCAGCATCACAAGCAGAATCCCTGGCGCTTCCTGGGGTGGGGATCCATGCTGAGTCCCCCCTTCCCGGTTGCCCACTCCTCAGTGTTACAAAGCCTGGGGACCAGGGTGGGCATCCAAGGGGCTCTCCCACGTGCCCCCCACACTGCCCACCATCATTTTTGCACACTGCCTGTTCACACTCCACATGTCGCCCAGGCGGGAAAGATGGAAAATAAAGTGTATTTACACAGTCATGGACAAGGGACACTGAGAGGGGCAGGCCTGGGGGTGGGGGTGGGTCCAGCAGCATGGGTCCCCAGTCCCTCATCCGGTGAAGCAGTGGGGAGGACAGCAGGCTGTCCTAGCCTTTGGGAGCCTCCCACAGCCTAAGAGTATCAGGGGTAGAGGTCATAGCAGGCCAGTAGGGGGACCAAAGAGGCTGCCCAGTTGGGGGTGCAGCATGGGAGAGGAAAGGACATTCCTGGGCTCCATGTGAGCCCAAATGTGAGGGTTGGAAGAGACAGTATTGGAGGAAGCCACCGAGGACCTAGGATGTCAGACTTATAGACAGAGCCTTAGAGCATGGCATTTTCAGAAGGGTGGCTCTGGCGATGGTGAGGGCAGGGAGTGGGGAGGCAGGATTTCCTACCTGAGCAATTCAACTGGGACCTCCCCCTGAGAGACCAGGAAGAATGAGGGGTCTTGGGGCTTCAGGAAGATTCATGGTCTAGTTTCATTCAGCACAC